ACCCAAGGAGGGGTTGCTATGAGGCGGGGCCAACTGGACAGCACTTAACAACAACAACATTCGGCTGCTAGCCAAAAGGTCGGCAACTCAAACACCAGCTGCCCCGTGGGAGAAAGATGTGCTGTTCTGCTTCTGTAAAGCTTTACAGCCTTGGAAACCCTACGGGGCAGTTCTACTCTGTCGTGTTGGGTGTCTGTGAGTCAGAATCGACTCAGTGACAGTGGGTTGAAGTATATATGAGCTGATATAATTGTGTTTCTATAAAACTGAAGCAAAATTTTCCTAAGACAGTCTTTACTCTTACTATGTGTAGTACACTTCCACATTCCATCTGTTCTTTCTTTATTTCATTTGAGTACACTGTGGTAACACGCCTCAGTGATTTCACCATCCACTGATACACTGCTGCCTTGGTCTCACTGGTGATTCTATGATGACTCTGAGAGTGATGACCATAACTTTGGCTTTTAGAATATTGTATTAGCTCCATTTTTCTTGACTATGATTATCCTCTTTTTCTTGGACAAATGACTTGCCACATCACTTGTAGATTTCTCCTTTCTGTTACTTATCTCATTACTTGCCAGTCTGTTAGCCTGTTCTCTTCATTCTATTAACGTGCTGTAGTACATTGACTTTTTTATGTCGGGTTTTTGGGATAAATCCCACTTGATTGTGGTATACAGTCCTTTTAATTTGCTGTGGAATGGGGTTTGCTACTATTTTGTTGAGAATTTATGCATCTATATTCACAGGAACAGCATTCATAACGGATATTAAACTCACTGCATTCAAGTTGATCCACTCACAGCGACCCGTCCTTGGGTTTCTGAGGCAGTGGAAGTAGATTGCCCAACCTTCCTTCCGAGGAGTAGCTGGTGGGTTATTAGTCTGTAGTTTTCTTGTGATGTCTTTGTCTGGCTTTGATATTAGGGTAATGCTGGCTTCATGGAATGAATTTGGAAGTGTTCTCTCCTTTTTAGTTTTTTTGGAAGAGTTTGAGAAGGAGTGTTGTTAATTTTCCTTTCAGTGTTACTAAAAGTGTTAGACAATAAAGAGATTTTAAAAAAAATGACGCAGAGATCAAGACTTTGTGTTCTAGACTCAGAATGCCTGTTCATATCCCAGCTCCACCATTTACTACACCTTGGCCTCTGGAAGTTAATGCTTTGTGTTTCAGTTTTGTCATTTTAAATGAGAAGAATAATATATCATGAGGTTGTGAGGAATAAATGAGGCAACATGTGCAATAAATGTTAATTTTTATTGAACTCATATTTTTTCCTTTAAATAAATATAATACAGTAAATACTGCACCATATCTAGTTTGTAATAAAAGTAATAGAAATTTTTTCAGTTATAGTTTTCAAAAAGATTTTCCTGTAATCATTCTACTAATTTATTCTTCCATAATTCTCATCTTTAATCCTTCCTGTTTGAGTCTGTCTTTTCTATGAAAAGCGTGAGCTTTGTAAATGCTAAGATACAATGTTTCTTATTTGCAGGGAATCCTTCCTGTGGATTATCTTAACAACACTGATCTCTTCAAAGCAGAGAGCATGCTTACAAATGCAGTCCAGATTCTTGAACAGTTCAAGGT